CTCATACAAATAGCTAGTCTATAAATCTAGTGTCATATGTATTGTCAGTTTGGAACTCAAGTGACTAATTTTACATTTGTCTTCAAACAATTCATATGTTTTACTTTTATGTTGAATCTCTTAAATTTTTTTGTTTTGTTTCCAGTGCACAATAACTAATAAATTTTTTTAAACTCAATTAATTTTACTTTATAAATGATGAACAGCAAAGCTGGCTAATGCACGCAATTTTGTAGACAAAAACTTTTGCATGCAAAAAGTTCTAATAATTATAATTTAAAATCATCCATTGTTAATTGTTTATATTATTAAGTTTCTCAGGTAACTGACCAGAATTTTTACTAGTTCCTTATTGGTCAATGGCATCAGTCATGAGATGGAGAACGGTGATATCTCTAAAGTACACATGAAAGGGCGATTAGTTTTCAAACTTTTACAGATAGTGTGGCATATATCCAATGTGGATGCTACTTTAATATGTTTGTAATAGGGTTTAATGTTGAGCTGATGCAAATGTTTCATCAAGGATTTTGGTACTAACGCATTGTCAAAAGAAGCTACTGAAACAATTTTCACAAGTTTCCCACAAGTTTGGATTTATTGAAGGATCATCCAGACGATGAAATGAACTATTAAATTATCATATCTAGAAGAAACTTAATAATTACAAAATCAAATGGCGGCAGCATGATATGGCAGCAAGCAATTATGAAAATCTTTGAAGGGGAAGCTAGGCTATGGACTAAATTACACCACATCAAAGTAAATTAATTATGTATATATGTCAATATTTTGTATGACACCTGAAACAGTTCGACTGAACCACTTATTTGGAAAAATTACAAAAATGTAGCTTCAGTGAGATGGAAATCGACAACAGATCTACATTCATACAAGAGACATAATCATTTGAAAGGAAGTGGAATATAGTTTGAGCCACTTTTAATTTTATTGATTGCATGCAGCATATGATAACTATTATTATGGGGAAATAATTTGAGGCCATGGAAGAGTTTGGCATCAAATAGAAAATTATCAATCTGGTAAAGGGGAACTATACAAGAACAGAGGCAGAGTGAGAGTAGACTAGATGGATATCTGTTCCTTTCGACAGTGCTCAGGGATTAAGACAAGGCAATGTAGAATATTTTCTTTTTGGTCATGGTTTTTCAATGGCTTTGGGTTGTACAACTTATTTCTGTACTTGTAAATAAATCATTAAAATCTAGGGAAACAAAATAAAGGATTGAAATGCCTCCACTAGTGTGTCCATGTGGGCGTGGAAGCTTTTTTCTCCATATGTGACATTTTTATTAGGGGTGAGCTTTTTATATTCTTTCTAGCACTCAGACTACTTTTTTGATTAAAATTACATGGTAAAATGAAAATCTTTAAAAAATAAATGAGGCTGGGGCTGAAATGTAGTCTTACACCGGTACACCTAGGGACTCGTTTAAACCGGAACTTCGCGCCATTTTCCGGCGTTAACTAGGCAGTTAGAATTCTGAAGGGTTTCTTAAAAAGTGATGTCTTATAAAAGTGAAATTGGGTATTATGCGTTGGATTAGACCTCATGGGATGTTTTATAGTGGAACAAAACAACGAAAACTTGGCGCTTTGAAAGTAAATAGCCGTTACAATGCGGCGGGGACAAGCATAATGATCAGGCGAACATGAAAATCGTCTTATCCGTAAGTTTGACTCAATTTCTCTTAAGAATGAAAAAGTAATTAAGGGCTTAAGCGTGCAGCTAGGTTTTCTCTAAGGGTGTACCGTAAACTAAATTTTAACCCAGGCTGATAAGGGATAAATATGGTGGACTACATTGGATTATGTTTTTATTACGGTTTTATAAACACATTCACAGTAGAGTTACTTTGAGACATAAAAATTATTTTAATTAGATTATAAATAATGTTTTGTTTGAAATTCTTTTATTCTTTGCATATTGTGCATATGTACACAGATTAGTATAGGGAAATTTTCTATTAGAAAACAGTGGATTTTTGGTCAGATAATGCACATTGTGAGGCGCTAATAGAAAAAGTGGAATAAATACTGTTTACAATATTATCTAAGTTTATTTTATGGCCCATCTTTGAGAAGGCATTAATAAATTCAGAGAATTTAAAAAAAATAAAATAGACCTGTTCATTTGGTTATTCCAACTTTCAAATAGAATAATTAAATTGTAAAATTCTATAGAATTACCAAGCTTAAGCAAAGTTCCTCTTAGGCTTGGCCTTGCTTGTAGGTGAAAGAGAGTCAATTGGAGACATCCTGCATGGTGATGGTCCAGATCGAGGGCGTGAGTTCCTCGAGAGGGGCGTTAGTGAATGGGAGGTGGCGGGTCCGGTAAGGAAGGAGTTGATCTCTGAGGAGGTAGAGGAGGGCTAAGGAGGATCTCGATATGGAGGTGCTTCCGGTTTCGCTGGACTTCGGCTCCATCTGATTTGGTGAACAATTTTCATCTCCACGAATCATTGCGGTCCTTTGGGGTGAGCCACTCCCAGCTTGAATCTTCATGGGCTCCATTGGACGGTTTTACTTGTGGCACTCCTTTCACTATACAATATTATTCCTCGTCGAAGTTCTGATTTAACCATGACATGATGAATGTGTGTCATGAAAGTTAATGACTTCCTTATATTTTATTTCGATCTGGAATGGGGCCCAAACTTGCGACTGTCAAAGCTATCATTTAGAGCTGATATTGGCGAAGAAGTTGAAGCATGAAACCTGGTTACAGAATCTGGTACTTTTAGTCTTTGTTGTTGGTTAATAACTTTTGAACTGTCAATAGATCGATCTTGCAGAAATGAAATGGACATCATTTGAATATTCACCATTTTTGTCAAAATCTAAATTAGTAGAGCAAACATAAAAAAACAACAAACCTAAACAACAAAAATTTTAAAGCCGCCTTTCTCTCTTTTACCTTTTAATGGATGTTTCATGTGGTGGCTAAAAGTCTCTCATTGTTCTCAGCGTTCAATAAGAGTAAAAACGACCTGTTTTTCGCTGTAGCATGGCGCAATGCGTACACAAACATCCTAAATTTAAATTAACAAAAATTAAAATGTTTAAAAAAGGCTTAGGGATTTCCTAATAAAGAAATAAAGGACAAAACTATTTGAAAAATAATTGCATAACATGTCCAAAAGCATATCTTTTCTTACCTGACGAAGAAGTTATTATCAGTGACACACATTACAATACGTTCATTCCTTCCACCCAGACTTAAGCTCCATTACGAAATAATTGATTTGAAGTGGCTCTAACTTAAAAGTTTTGGCACTTGCAAATTCAGGCCAGCCCAACAATGGGCCCTCGACCAGATTCTTGAACTAAAGAAAATAGTTATATTCCTATTTAAACTGGGACAGACATTTTTATTGCTAGTGCGCAACGCACAAAAAAATGTAATTTGCTTTAAACATTCCTTAAGCTATGGAAGTTTATTTCATTTTCGCAATAAATTAGGGCCAAATAGTACTACAACCTTATCTGACAATATTTGTCACGTACTCATCTTAATATATGATTAATTATGATGTGTGAATACGTACAGATATTACAGGCGTTTACTTCATTTTCGTTTCAAGGATGCACTCGCTGAAGTAATGTGGTTAATTTGATGTTCTTTCTATGTTAAACATTTACCCACATTACATGCATAACACATTTTCAGGGGAGGAAACCAACCAAACGCCCAAACAGTTAGGTCAGCCGCGTGAGGGCAGCTGTAGTCGATTTTAACTCGGATCGCGATGGTGCTATCTAAACGCAGCATTGGCTATTCGGACAATTGCGACATTGCTAATGTGTATTGTCAATGATGGTGAAATTCCCTATTAGGGAGTTGGAATGATGGGACACACGAGGAAGGAAACGAAAGGAAACATTGGGTATGCTATTCCTCGAGTGTTTGCGGTTGTACTCGTGTGCTAATAAATAGAGTTTCTTCGTAGATATTTAAACCTACCTGTGTTGAATGTTTCAATAGCGGAAAAATCTGATTTAATTATTGTAAAGTACGACAGTCTTAGATCGGTCGAAAATCAGTTTTTCAGTATATCGATTTTAGCAAATCATTGTCCATGTGCATTTGATGCAAAGTTAAGCTTTACTTTTATTTCAGTGATTTTATGAGCTCATTGCTTATGGATCGTGGCACATAATGACGCAGAAGAAAAACTTGATCTCAGCTGCAGAATTTATAGAGATTGAGACCCAAAGCAAAGATTTGCAGGTATTACTAGAAAAGTAATTCTGTGACCTTTACCCCTTCAGTTTTCTTTTCGTTTTGGAAAGTGTGGGCACTTCAGTCATTTTACGTATATTCTAGCAATGCATCTTCCTGCAGATTATTTTAAATGTAATCTTTTATTATTTTAAGTTTTTTGGTGGCACAATTTGACGGCCGATGCTGGGATGTATTGTTATAGAAAGCAAGTTCCGTCTAGAAACTAAAGGTAGAGACGTGTTTGGAAATTTGTGTGGAGCGCTTTCTTGATGCACAAAATTTAATGTGTTAAATCGCTTTGGAGAAAACTCAAACTAGAATGCCTTGGAGTGCCAGAGATGTCTTTCAGATAGAGAGATAGTAGTAGAGATATACCTGTAGTATCGTGGTGTTTTGAAACTCTGTAGATGATCAGACGAAGATATAGATATAGATATATATAAAGAAACATACGAGGTTATTACAGTTACTTTGATAGATATTATTTATTGCTTGTCATTTAAAATGTTCTCGAGAGTAAAGGATATCCATTAAGTCGCCATAGGCGTAAGTTATTGTGACTGGGTCTGTGGTAGGGGCTTTAGTTTCTACGCAGTACGTTATGCAGCAGCGGACAAATTGCAGAGAGTCCCGGAAAGAGAGAGAAACCAGAGAATTTTTCGAACGCACACGTAGGCAGGCAACATTTTGATGAGTAGCAGAGCACGGCACTTGCAACAGACTATTCTTTCTTCTCTTTCTCCTAAACTAATAGAAAGCCTATCTGCTCAAAGGAGTAGACCGCACACTGAAGAAACTTGGTAAAGCTTGTTGAGAAGTGGTCACGCCACAAACTGATAAATAGAGAGAAGAACTTAAAGTATTTGGCGTTTACCAAAGCATCAGTTGTTTTATAAAATGCTTAATGCAATGTTTCTTTTTTTTTTTTTTTGGGTTTGGGGGTAAAAACTTGTTTTTCTCATTTTTTTTTTTTGGCGAGTGCAACTAACTTTTAATAGGTGGTTATATGTATCGCCAGCTAATGAGAGATAGACTGACCTCGTCAAATATAAGATAAATCCGTTGTAGCAAGAAAAATTATTTTGTCCTTAGTTCACGCATTTCTTGAGTAATGGAATCAGACTAATTGGCACTTGCTCCAGAGTAAAGTTAGTTTGATTATGGGCTGGTATTCCCTTGAAGCGACGTTTGAAATTTAAATGTACTGAGCAAACTTTCATATATAGAGATATATAGATAGATGATAGAGAGAGTGATCAAGAAGGATCCTGCAAAGATATATGACGGCATTTTGTTTCTGGCCTAGTGAAATTCACTGTATGCAAGCTTCGCTCCAGTTCAGAAAGAAAATTTTACTGAAGTACTATGATACTTGAAACTACGACATTCTGGATAAGTGAAGAAGTGATCTCCCTTCTTATCATACTTAGCTAAGCCAGGGATTTTCAGGTGTTGTAGATAGAGTGTCCGAATATTTTATTTCAAATGACACCTAACAAGGCCGCCTCCTAAAATGACTCCAATCAGGAAAATAAAGAATTACTGAAAAAGGGTGTTAACTCGAGAACTCAATACTAAAATCATATTTTAATCATGCAATCTATGGTTGATTGTTTTGACGATAACATCGAGATAGAAACCTTGAAGTGTATAAGTATTGATGAATTCAACAATGAATTAAATGGTTTACTAACTTTTGTTTTTTGCTGTGCAAGTTAAACCTGTTGCAATAGTGTCAAAAAATCTAACGAAAATGATGAATCATGCTTTTATATCAAATAAGTAATTTTAAATACACAAATCATGAAATAAACATAGGACAAGTGAAAGTTGTTTTCACAGAAATCTATACTGTCTATTCTCTTTAACGTCTTTTTATAGGTCTCATGGCATTCCAATTGATATTTTCATTGAATACTTATTTAAACATAGTAAAGTAACATAGTAGAATAACAAAATGATCTATTATCATTACAACTCAGATCATTGTGTGATTCTTTTACATTCAAATAAAATTAAAATATATTTCCTCTGAAAACATTCCAAACCTGATATAAAATAAATTGTAATAAATTGCTTGAAAACATTAGTATGATTGATATGAACAAAATTAATAATTAACCAAATTTAAACCTTGCTACTGATATCTTCATCGTTCTAATATGAAATGAAACTACTTATGCTAAGTGCAGGAGTAGAACCCCAAACTAAAAGTTAAAATAGAGGAAAAAATGGATCACTGAAGGTCTAATAAAATTTTGCAATGTAAAATGTTTGTGATATAAAAAAATGAAAACAACAAAGTAATACAAAAATTAAAACGAGTGCAATAGCTATAAAGCCAGCGCCATTTGCTGAATTCATATACTATGCTCCACGAAGTCATGGAGGTTAAGTGAATTTGAGACCTGTGGTTTCCTGGTTGGTTGAGGAACCCTGAAATCTAACATCATTAAACCCCTGGCCTGAAGGATAAGAGGCACTGGCTGCCTGACTGCAATGTGCGGAGACTTGACATAGTAAAGGAGGATTACTCCATGCAAGCACTCAATGCCTGAGGGTTTAAGAGACGCGTTGCATCAATGACGATGCAACAATTTTTTTTTTTAACTAAAATAATTACATTAATATTAGCAGCAAAAGAAATGTATTACATCAGTATTGTTAATGAATTTAATTTAAAACCAGTACTGTATGAAAATTTGTATATAATTGCTTAAATATAAGTAAAAATGACACTACAAAAATGAATAAAATGAAATCTGACACAAGTGTAATTTTTGGTATTGATGAGGAAATTGTCAACCATCTAAATGGCTTCTTTGATAAGTCATAAGTTTGAAATTGCTGAAAATTTTGATCAATATATATTAGATACAAAGATTGAAATTGATAATATCCCCATAAATACTATCTCTATGAAACCTACAAATCGTGATGAAATATTGAATATTATTCTGAATATGAACAGCAAAAAGTCATGAGAAGTAGATCAAATCTCAGTTGTAATAATAAAACGCATTGGTTAATACACCTACTACTTCGAACCATCTTATTTAACTTATCTATTGCATATGGAATTGATCCAAACCTCTTTAAAAAACTGAAATTGTCCCATTAAAATTGGATGACTGAGATAAAGCTAGAACTTCAGACCCATGTCTTTACTATCCAATCTTGCTACAAATTTTTGAGAATGTAATCAAAAATAGAATGATTAACTATATTGACAAACAAAATCCTGAAGTCCTTACAATTTGCAACATGGGATTTGCAAATTCAATTGAAATTGCAATTGCAATTTTCAAGATAGCAAGAGTACGAAAGATGCCATGAGGTTTGTGACTGATGTCATTTGTGATGTAATTGACGAGACAACCTTGTATGTCTGTTTATTTAGATCTTGCCAAAGCTTTTGACAAAGTCAAAAATAATATATTATTAGATAAATTATATAAGTTGGAATTTAGAGAATTAACTTTGAATTTATTTGAATGTTAGCTCTTTGACAAGAAACAAATTGCCAAAATCAATGTAGACAGATCTGATGAAAACTAATGATGGTACAGAATGGCACGGACTTTCTTGTACTAGTTAGTTTTCTAATTTCCTTGATTTGGGTTATCTTTTCAGTCTTGTCCCATCCCATCTTGTCATTTTAAATTGTCACTAATGTAAGTATTAACAAGGTGGGAGACAAGTCCAAAAATTACATTTTTGTAATTTTGAAAAATAACAAAAGAATAGTGCAAAATGAAGTTTATATCTTCTCCTAGAGTGCATTTAGCACTATCCCTCCTAAATGTGTAAAGAAAAAGTGGGAGCAGATTTCAAGAAAATCTATGATTATTGTTGTTGTTGTTATTATTATTATTATTATTATTATTATCACTATTATTACTATTATTATTCATGTAAAGTATCACCTAAATATAAAGAAAGATTTTCAAAATCACAGTACCTCAAGTCGAGCCAGATCGACCAGGGAATATCCATTTTCGAAAAAATCCTCCATATGTTTTAAGAGCTAGTGGTGTTCACAAATGGACGGATATTTTGATAAATAAACAACACTTTTGATATTAGGCCCTAAAACGTGTATTTCAATTGAAATCTTGAAATCGATTTTCTGCAGAATTACATAACTTTCTTTATACTATGTATATTACTCCAAATATATGTATGTATATGTGACAATAAAAAGTAGACATGAGAAAATGTGAAAACTCAAAATTAGTGTTTAAGTAACTAAGATTTTTTCTGGTTTCACACGCAGGTTTATTACCTTGTGAAGTAGCAACACATGTGTAAATTATCTTTAACTATTTGCTACCTGTCAATAAATGAATAATTAATTACTATTTTAAAATTAATTTAAACAAATTATGGAGGAAACAGTACAGGATATTTCATACATTTCCAACTTTTTTAATAAATAATGAGTTTAGAATTAAAGCTTAAAATTCTGAGAAACAGAGATAATCCGCTTCTGAAATGCAGCTCAGCAAGAATAGAAATGTTTACCATAGCAGTTGTAGTGAAGCCACTACAAGAAGGCCCCTTGCTTTGATTTCTCATGTGGATGCAAGTGATGTATATGCAGCTTTTTCTTATGAAAAATTGAGCCTTTGAAGACACATTGTGTATTGTCTCCCCAAGGCCTTCCCTCTGGGGTCTTTGGATTGTTACATCCTATGAACAGGATTAGCACTGACTCTCCGCATGGACATTTGGCTTCCTCTCTCATAACAAACTGAGAATTGAAAAGGATATCTTCTAATAAAATATTTATGTATTACATTCTAATTAATCTTCAAACTGATTTAATTTTCATTCTAATCTTTTTCTTGGTTTTCCTTCTATTCACACAGTGTCCCACCACCTTTCTGGCAGTAGAGAGCTTTTACCCAGTGTAACATAAAGCAACCACATAATCAATAACACGTTAAGTCTAAAAAGAGTTCTTGCACATTATTTCGTTCTAAATGGGAGGAGTTTGAAGTTCTTGCAGCAGAATGCTCTAAATTTCCATAATGCGACATCCTTTTAATTAATATTTGTTCAACTGTAAAACTTCCCATCAACCACTGACCTTAAATCCTTAAATAAATATAAATAATATCGTATGAAGAAAGAAATGTTTATATATTAATTCCTGGATGCAGAGCACACTACTGCCACAGTTGAGAACAATCCATACACTGTGACCAAGTGATAGATCAGAATTTTGTTTATGTTGCCTGCTGTATCAAGTGTAATAAGAGACGGTTTGCTCAGTGTGAATCAACTTCACATACACCACTTTCGAGCCTAGGTGTATACACAGCTCAAGTTGTGCATCCTCTGGGGCACAAATGTGGTAGTTGCTAAGGTGCTTCAAGGGATGCAGTTTCTCTATCTGTAAGTCTCTAAGGTAGAGGCTCTTAGATCCCTTCAAGTTCAAGGTTAAGTTGGTGTTTGTGGTGAGATTCAAAGGTGGCATAAGCTAAGGAGTGTCATGCTATGCAAAAAATGTTATCTTTTTAAAATGTTTTTCTGTAAGAGGGGGATACTTAAGTGCAACTTAATGAAATTATGACCAAATCTAACTTTAGTTAAAGAAAATTGGTTGGGTAGTAGTAATAGTATTTTAAAATATTCATCTTCTATGATAACCACCCAATATTTATTTTGAACTGTAACAATTGGTGTATAATTTTTTTAACTAAAGGCTTTGTATTTGGTAACATTCTTTGTTTTAGCTGTTCTTTAATTTTCAACTGTGATAAAGTCCTATCCACTTATAAATATTATTGCATCCCTAAACTGTACTGGTACTTTAGGATTTCCAGCAGTCTGGATGTAATGAAAGCGATTCTCATCAAGAGTCTGTTCTGTACAATGCCCAATATCGAGATCTTGTGCGTTTAGTGAATTACCAACGGGAGAAATTAACATCTCAACAAGCTGAATTAACAAAGGTAATGTTTTTCTTACAAAGAATTGTTTTAGTTCTTCTAAATAATAAGGCTACTTTATGCTTTTTCTGTTGCATTATCCTGTAATTTTTAGTTCGATGCTGAAATAGTTTTTTGGGAAAGCAAAACAAGAGAGCAACATCATCAATTGGAATATCTTACCCAGGAAGCTGCACGCATGGAGAAAGCTACAAGAATAACTGAAGATCAGGTACAGGATCTATTTATTTTGCAAATATTTATTGCATTTTCTTTCTTGTTAGCTTTCTAAATATAAATTATGTTTTTGTTAATTAAGAAACTGATATTTAATTTGTTATGTTTCTATGAATCAATAATGAGCAGATGTCTGCACAGCAGAAGTAATTCCAACAACAAGCTTACTCATGTTTCATAGACCCCGTGCATAACTCAATCAGAATCTGACTAACTTTTCTTAAAGATGTCATAATTCATACATACTTTGTTTGAACATGCTTCCTGCACCCTGCCAAGACATACTCCCTGTGAGGAATGTAGAATTCAGAAACTATTCATGAAATGCCATCCTCTCGAGCTTAATATGAAATACTTTTGTAGAATATGATACAATTAATAAGTGTTAATCAATTCCAAAATGACTTTTGGATTGAATTTCTGCGCACACAATGCTCGGAGAGCTCTAGACAGTTTCTTACAGAAGGGAAGCATAAGTTAGCAAATCTTAGGATTGCTTTGATGTAGGCAAAGCAAACGTTGTTTTTTTAAGAGATATTTATTATTATCATTTGTAGTTACATAAATTAAAAATTAAGCCTTTTGCCGGGTAAGTGTCTCTATATGTCATTGTTCAAAGTACTCTGACAAAGCTGCTTGCCTTAGAAAGATATTAAATCAATAGTAATGTACTTTACTTTTATGGTTCTTATTATAATACACTTGAAAGTGGTGTGAGGTAACTGCTTAATAAAGATTAATCAATGAAGTGTATGTGTGTCAATGAAATGTATATGGAGAATCCTATTGGTTTTACAAAAAAATTAGTGTTAATTAAGGTGGCTGTTTGAGCAGGATTCACTATAATACTAACCATTTGTAAATGGATGACCTCATAATTCCAAAGACTGCAAATTTATTTGTGTTTGCTCGTGCATAGTGTAATTGATTCACACATTTCTCTTGAGTACTACTACTTCATTGACTTAGGAATTAAGGGCTACAATGTACAGAATAATTTTAAACAGAACTAATATTTTTATATTGTTTTTCACTATGGTGAAGTATTATAATGAACACAGACATAACAAATATTTCAATTTAATGAAATTATTATTGATCCCCAAAAATGTCCCTGCAGTTTATATATAAAATAATTTCTATAAACAAAATTCGAACTTTCAGAAAGACTGAATACATTTTTTTTTTCTTTTTGTCCAAGTTTTAACTTTGTTTCAAAATATAATTGAAATTCATTTTGTTTTAGAATAAATATTTTCTTATTAAATAGTTTAGTATTATTATTCAAACAGTTCTACCATAGTATAATTTTCCATTCACTACAAGGCTTCGTCAACCGTGAGCATTTCCCAATACAAGGGATGCTATTGTTTGGATAGGGATGCAGATTTTATGAACAAACAGTGGACTACATAATTTTGTATCTTGTTTGCCTTTAATTTCCAATCATATCAAGCCAACAAGCTTTCCTTTACAAAAAATAGAAATTAAATCAAATTTAAATAAATTAAATAAAAATTTTCTAGAAAAGTTGAAGAAACTGCATTTTTTTGTATCTAATCCTTCAATATTCTCTAATCTAATAAATATTAGCTTTTTCTTTAGTAAGTTAATTTTGAAGTAATGCTCGTTGCAATGGATATCCAGTAGTTGGTGTATATTTGCGAAGTCCAGCAGACACCATTCCGACCTTCATTTCTGTCCCTGTCTGTCTGTCTCTCTCTCTTCTCCTTCTCTCTCTCTCTGGTCTACTTCTTCTCTGTCTCTCTACTTCTCTCTGCTCTCTGTCTCTCTCTCTCTGCTCTCTCTCTCTGTCTCTCCTCTCTGTCCTTCTCTCTGATCTCGTTCTCTCTCCTCTCTCTCTCCGCTCTCTCCTCCCTCCTCTCCTCCTCTCTCCTCTCCTCTCCTCTTCTCTCTCTGATCTCTCTCCCTCTCTGCTCTCCTCTCTCTCTCCTCTCTCTCTCCTCTCTCTCGCTCTCGCTCTCTCCTCTCTTCTCGCTCTCTCTCTCTCTCTCTCCTCTCTCCTCTCTTCTCCCGTCTCGTCACTCTCCTTCTCTCGTCTCTCTCGTCTCTCTCTCTCTTCTCTCTCTCTCTCTCCTCTCTCTTCTCTCTCTTTTAAACAAATAATTCCCCATATTTTTTTGCCATTTTGGTATTTTATGATAATTTGCTTATTTATTTATATTTAAAACACAGGCAAATGCCCAATTTACATATAATTTTAAATTTAATAATTTGACGTAAAACATATTCTTATAACATGCACTAACTAATGTGAATTACTCTAGAACACGGTTATCTAAAAATGTAGCAAAATAATTTCAGAATGTGTTTTTTCGGCATCAATGTCAATTCCATTTTTGTGTATACAATCAGACTCTTGTCTATTTGAATTTGCCTATTCCTGATACATTCTTAGTAGTAGGAGCATGAAAATAGTATTGTTTTTGCTAATCGGAATTTTAATGTATATTCTACCTTTTATAGTAGAATTCAAACTGTATTTTCAAGCAGGATTTGGGATAAATGATGTCGAACAGTCAATATTGTTTTTCAATAAGATTCATTTTTTAAATGAATTTCTCAATGCTTAATTCCTGACGGACTATCAATTGTACAATTTGCTTTAACCATGAAATATCTGCAAGTGACGGTAATTTAAATTTTCAAAGCTGCAAATAAAAATTTTGTTTGGTAAAGATTTTTGTTGTTTTCTTTTATTTAATGTTATCTGCTAAGAAACATATATAATGGTTTAATTAATATATACATGAGAAGTATATAAAAAGATTTTGGTCTTATTCATGTATAATATTGTTTTAATTTTATTGTTTATTTTGCTATTGGATTTGTTGTAAATTTGTAGTTCGTTCTTCTAAGAAAACGCAAGGCATTCGTATTATACTTTTGCCAGCAGTGAAATCTATATGTTTGTTAGTATTTTACGTTTTTGGTAAAAATCACGCCCACGATCTTTAATGTTTTATGACAGTTTCTAATATTTTCTTTTTTTTTTTTTTTTTTTTTTTTTTCTTGCCGCCTTGAATAAGAAATATAATTGGATTTCTAAGGTCTTGGTAATATCTCATGATTTTTACATTTATTGATATTCAACGCAAGTGTGTTATTTTGGCAACATTACATTAAAGCATTCAGGAAATATTTGAAGGAATAATGTTTACTTATCTCAGTTAAAAATACAGTCCAATAAATATACCATAATTTAATGAACTAATGAAGGTACGTGAAATGTATTACATTTTAAAATTTAAATTTTTTTAATGAAAATTAATTAATAGTTGATTTTTCTATAAAAATGTAGTATGAGAAGCTTTGCAAAAAAGAATTCTCTGAAGAAAAATAGCCAAACAAGCATGTGGTTAAGTTTTTTAATGAAGCTAGTTGTTGTAACAACCTCTTGTTGAAAAAAATGCCCATGTCTGTTTTAGAGTTTATTTGGATTAAACTTGTAATACTTTGCTTTATTTGAAGATGTATTCAGACGGGAAGATAATTTGTTGGATTGTTTTTCAAAGTGCATAAGACATTCATATGTGAATGTCTAGATTTAATAACAAAAGAACTTAAATTTACTTTGTTAAGAGGATACCTTTCAATTTCAGATTCGTATCTTGAGTGTGTTGAAGAAGAGAATGAAATTGTCCGACAACCAACGAAAAAACACTTAAACTGAACTACTCCTTCTAGTAACTAAACTGCGGCGAATTGTGAAACAGAGGCATTGCATGTGCAAAAACAAAATCAGGTATTGAATTATGTACATGTTGAATATGTCGTTCTTTGTTAGTTATTGATTTATCTGCAGAAATGTTTAAAATTACGTTACATTGATACCAATTCATCTCTCTTGACCTTCATAATTAACTAAAATCTTTTTTATGTTCCAATTGAATTCTGATATATGAAACATAGCTCAAAATTGCAAATGTAATGCTTGCCATTATTATACTTTAAATTATTTATACATAGAATCCTAAAATGTTGATATAGTTATGGCACCATTTTTTTGTGCTATTAACATCAGTACAGTCTTGTAATGTTTTCGTTAGTTTAAAAATATTAATAAAACAAAATTCTGCTTAAAACTGTTTAAACTTATCTCAATGAAAACACGCAGTTCCGATGATATACCATAATTTAATTGAGCCTGAGGAAGGTATGTGAAAATGTATTACATTTTAAAATCAATTTTTTAATTAAAATGATTTTAGCAGGAGATATGCTCTTCTGTGCAAATTCTAATACATTTGGCAAAAGATGTTTATCCTTGCATATCATTCGCTACACCTCTTGTTTCAACTATTTGTGGTCATGAAACCTATATTAAGGTGACCAAAGTTGACTCCATGGAAAAGTATCTTTATTTATTTATGTAATTTACTTCAAAAAACAGTTACAGAAACTGTGTGTGACATGCTATGGGGAAAAGTAATTTGAAGTTTTCATTTTTTAAGTCTTTCAAAGGGTTTTGTTGCTAAATAACGTTATTATTATTATTATATTATTATTATTATTATTGATTATTATTATTATTATTATTATTATTATTATTAGTTATCATTATCAAATTATCACTTATCCATCATCATCATCATCATATCAATTGTATATATTTTTACTTATTTATCTATACCTAGTACTTCACATGAAATGTTAGAGGCCTTCCGGGTAAGAACACATCTTGTTTCTTCTAATATATGAGCTACAATGGAGAACTTTATCCATACTGTGTTCTTAAACAAACCTTTTTGTAGTCCTTCAGTAATGCATACTCAAGCATCGTGTAGTTCTAAGGGCGTTCTCTGTACCTTTTCCAGCCTTCTGCCAATGCTTCATGACTACGTTTTTTCAGATACTATCTCCACCCTTTGCAATCTGTGCATACCTTCACTCAAAGACTTGTGTTTTTTCAGATGGCATATGTGCCTAGTGTTGTTTGCAGCTGGATATCGGATGTTTCTCAATTGATTAAGT